AGAAACTTTATCAGAGAACTACATAAAAACAGAACAAATTATATTTCTATCAACAAATCAATAAATAAATCTAAAATTCAAGACCAATTATTATAAAAGAAACAATTATAAAATAGTGGCAAATTTTAACAAAAGAGTTAACATACTCTGCAAATACCGTAGGACTTCAGATTTCAAAAATTGGTAGAAGCTTATTCCGACAGAACATTCCTCGCATTTGGAATATACTTCGGTTTATACCGAAGTATATTCCAAATGCGAGGAATGGTTATCACTGTTATCAGTGATAACCTCTGCAAAGTAAAAACTAGATAACTAGCGGGAAAAATGCAGATATTGTCAATTTCTCAATACATCTTTAACTTCAATTGTTTATGTTTATACTTTGCAAGAATTCGACTATTAGGACGTATAGATTACAAGTACAAGAAGTTAAAAGAAAATTAAATTTGACTGCTTTTGTCTCGTCAACGGAGCGGAAAGGACTGATTAATTAATTAAGCACACTTGTTTTTTTTTTCAAAAACTTTAATAAATTTGAAGAACATTAATTCAGCAAAATTGTAGGATGACAGATAAATTTTGATTAATGATTTAGCATGCGTCCAAAAAGTTAAAATATTTGCAAGATCTCACAGGATTCGGTTTTTGCATTTTCAAAGTTAAATTATTGTAAAACGTAGTTTTATAATTACGATTTTTTTTACACAAAAAATCTGAATGCCAAGGGCAAAAACTAAGCACGTATTCACAAATCGCACATTCATATGCATGTTACTTTATATAATTTAAAGAACATTTATTCGGCAGAATGGTCAGATGACGTCATCATTTTTTAATGGGCATAAAGAAAAAATTTTCTTTAGCGATTTAATATGCATACGATAAGCTTAAAACGCTTGCAAATTTTAAGAGTATTCGATTTTGTCACTTCTTAGTTAAATTGTAAAATGTTTTGTAAAATATGGATTTTTTCCGAAAAATCTGGATGTCTGGGGTAAAAATTCGACACAGATTCATAAATCACACATGCAGGAGAACGTAATCCGATACGTCTTTAAGAACATTTATTCGGCAAAATTGTAAAATGATGTCGTCACTTTTTTGGGAGAGAATAAACGAGTTACTATGCCTAAAATAACCTTAAATGGTTTCGAAAATTTCATAGCAGTTAGTTTTTCAGATTCGAAGTTGGATTGCAAAATGTTGTTGCATTCATAATCCACAAGTGTGGGAATTTCTTATTTTATGAATTTTAAATATTCACTAATGTAAATTTCGGAGACGACGTCATCATTTTGTTGGTGGGGATGAGTAGCCAAATTTTGGTTAGCGTTTTACCATCTGCACGATATTCCTAATACACATAAAAAAATTTGAAAACTATAGGTCCAAAGTTTCGGGGATTATCTGTCTAATAAAAATTCCCACAGACGATAAACAGACAAACAGACAGACAGACGGACGAATGGACGGAGAGAGAGAGAGAGAGAGAGAGAGAGGAAATAAAAATTGGTAAATTGGTCAAATGTTAATGAACAGAACTTCTGTCACCCTTAAGGCACCATTAAACAAAACCAATTTTTTAGAATTAAAAGAAAAGATACATAATAATGTTACGTCGATCGGTGAATAAAATCGACGTAGGTTAAAGTCAACAATTTATTTGTTAGTAACTCGGATTTACACGACTAATTACAGAGCGATTATGTACAAAATAATTTCGACGCAACATTCACTGTGTTTTCTCGACACTCGTTGGACTTCAAAGTATCCGTTTCCGCTTCTAGGCTTGTTCTCGAACACCCGTCGCGTCATCCGGTTCCAGGGTCTTCTCCGGCCGCCGCCACCGACAATGAGTCATGATCGCCGTACATACTAGAACCCATAGGCGTCATACCGGGGCGGCGTATTAGGTTTATTTCGTAACAATACCAATTACAGTGTAACAAAAAAATTGGCCATAAGGAGATTGAACACGCTCCAACTAGCTGAGCTATTCGAACATCGATCAGCGTTCTTCTATTACTATAAAATGTTGTTACACACTTGTTTTTTCTTTCCAAAACTTGGGTGTTTAGGACAAAAAATCGTTTGAAAGTTATTTTGACAGAACTTTCCTAGCATCTAGTATAGTATAGTCCAACAAACCCTGCTTCTTTGAATAATTATAAAATTTGATTTTGCGATTTTTGTTTTGTAATAACCTGTATAAAGTAAAAACCAGTTGCGCAGCCCCTGCGCAGTAGTGATGCAAAGTCCAAGGGAACGCGATCTGCAACAAGTGCCGACAACATGAAAAATATTTAATGCAGATAATCAACGGGAAAAATGTCCTCTCAGTAATAATGACATGCTTAACTTCCAGTATTTATGTTTATACTTTGAAAGAATTCGACTAGTAGCACGTTCAAAAGACGATGAAATTTGATTGATGTTGTCTCCTTAAATCAGAGAAGAGAACTGATTAATTAATTAAGCTGGACTCGAACTATTGACCTTGCATCTATAAACCAGACTTCCTACCGGTTCTGTCGTTAGATTGGTTTGTTTGGCTACGTATTATATGATTAAAGAACCAGAGGGCTTAAAACAATAACAATTATAATGATAATAAACAAAACCAGAGCGGATTCATAAAGCACAAGTTCAAGAGTATAGTATTTTATAAAATTTAAGTTATGTTTATTATATAAAATTCTAGGGGATGTCATCACGTTGTTGGTAGGGATAAGTACATAAATTCTGGTTAGCATGTTATTATCTATATGGAATTTATAATATATATACAAAATTTGACAACAATCGGTCCAGTAGTTTTAGAGAGTATCAACTTATAAAAAGCTGGACAAAAGGCAGACAAACGGACAGACAGACGGAAACGGGCCACCTATTTTTCCGTACCCCAGGGGCGATGAAACGTCGAGAAAAATTGAAAGTACTCAGTCGGCTAATGAATTCGATTACAGTACTTCTTAAGCTTACGTTCGGGAAGTAAAAATCGAAGCGGATTTAGAAACCAATACAGACGTACACTAAACTCAGTCGACATACACGTTGTAAAGGTTTACGACTCAAGCTAAATCACAGTTGTAAATTAAACGAGCCCCTGTACCTTGCGACAAGTAAGTTTTCAGGGAGAGAGCAGGCGGATGCTTGCACAGGCCCGAACTTATTTTCATTGTAAATGTTAAACTCATTCTTTCGGAATCTGACGACGATTTTGTTGTGTCGTGTACCTATGTAAATACATATAATTTTGTGTGTATAAATATATCGTATTGTTGTCGTTCTTATATATTATTAGTTTCGATTCCGCAAGGATTATTGCCATAATCGAGTCATAAACCTTTACAAGGTGTATGTCGACTGAGTATAGTATATGTTATTTTATAGAACTTAAATAGCATTTACCATGCAAAATTTTGAGCTCACGTTATCAAATTCTTTTGTACAGAGAAATTTTGGTGAGTGTTCTATCATTTACACGCTATTTCCAAATAATTCTTAATAAATAAGAACAAAGTGTACGGAAAATTGTGGATTCTACATTGGGATAAATTTATTATCGAAGCCTATTTTCGCTGGCTAGGATATTGACGGAGGCTGGCAATACTCAACTTCTGCTGTCAAATAACTCCACTGCCCTCTAGTTGTAAGTCATTTATTAACACCCTGTATTTAAAATATGATACAACAAATGAACTTTTCAACTTTATTCATGAATTGATATCTAATAACTCTTGTGGGTAGGATTCAGTTTTTTTTTGTAAGTGTCGTTTACCCCATCAAGTCATACCTAAGTCATTCGCTTGCAGTATATTTTCGAAACAGTTAAAATTAACAATCCTATTATATTTCTCTGACCTTTCGTTTTTCGTTATTATAATATTAATACAGTGTGATTCTTTAAATTTCTGCTCTAGTTGGCCATAACGCATACGTCAGCAATTCTACTGAAACGGCTGACGTAAACGTCATGGCTAACTGGAGCAAACATTTAAAAAGTCAATCTATATAAAAAGTACACAAACGTTAAAAAATGTCAGTTGTCTGCTACCATTTTCTTTTTCTTTTCAATATTTTAAAATATTTTAAAGGACTTAAGTAAAATGTTATATCCCTGATAAAGGAAAAATTATGCAATTTCAAACTATCAAAAACCTCGTTACTGCCAAAATTCAAAGTTTTAATTCTCAAATGATTAAAATATTACAGTGAAACAATAAACTGAGATGACGCAATTTAAACATTTTTAATACATTGTATCAAACAATTTAATTTCAAGTATTTTACTAATGAAAAAATAAAACATATTCTATTTAACACAACTGTGAAACATATGCCGTTTTGTGTGTTAATTGAACGCTTCAAATTTTAAAGAACTAATAGTACTTAATTATGGCAAGTAGATTACAAGCAACTCTAGCTTAAATTAGATCATCAGGTCGGAGTCCCGAGCTTACGCACAATTAATTATTTACCGCCGTTTAAATCAACGAAACATTAATCAAAAATTTTACAAAGAATAGCTAATTGTCATCACATAAAATCTACAAATATAATTTAATTTTGATGAATTTCTCTTCTCCTTCAAACCCCGTTCTTCCGCTCCACCTTCGCCCCAGCAAAACCGGGTCGAAAAAACTTATAAGTCGTCCATCTACATTTCAGATGAGATTCCTTTGCAAGTCAGCTTTTTAGAACGTTGATTACAGCACAAAGCTTTAGAAATAGCAGTTCTAGAAAAACTCGTACCCTCCAGAAATACCGGAATAAATTCTAAAAAGACAGTAAATGTCAAAACCGACTCTCATCATATGCGAATATAATCCTTTGATTTTTATCAAACGCGTTTGCTTTAATCTCCACATAACCTTTGCGCTGCGCCAAACGCGAAAAAAGTCTCCAGAGTCCGATAACTTTATTTCGTCGTGCTTTTACGGAACATACACGCGCTCTAAAATTCATCATTGTTTAAATAATAAAATGTCAATTACCTGGGCGGATTGTTGTTGTTGGATGGAGGCATTGGGGTGGGTATTCTCGGTGGCGGCACAGGAATTGGCGTCGGCCGCCGCCTTCCCGGGAGTCCCCGAGATAGTTCACCGTTCATCTGAAACAATAAATTAATAATAAGTAGGTAATGCTTAATTAATTGAAAACTGCGTCAAATGAGAAAAATTTCACAATTCCATTTAAAACACGAAGATCGTTTTCATTTCTTTATGGAACAGGTGTTTCACGATACACGTTACATATGCAACATATATGTTACGCTAAAAATTTAGATTTTTTTAAAATCTCGTGAACAGACTGGGTGGAATTTATATAAATTCATAATTAGAGAGCGGAAAATATGCAGCAAAATTTTGGGAAATATGATCATATGATATGCACCAAATTTATGCAAATATGCAGTAACTTTCTTAATATATGCAGAGATATGCAGCTGCATATGCTCCAAAAACTAAAAAAAAGCGTAATAACCGAAATAAATTTATTTACAAATTACAAAATTAGTAGTAATCGACTATTTAATTACTATTTTGGTAACAATTTATTTTTAAATATTTTTCGAAATATTCTGACCAAAAGTTTTCCGATGATTCTAAAGTATATTTGGTATAGAAAAACTGTGTACTACCTCCACAGATATAAAAATCCTTACCGGTTGAGAGCAGACGCGACAAAACAGTTCCTTCTTGAAGAATAAGTTCAGGAAAAGGTTTAATCCATAAATTAATTTGAGTTATCTTCGACATATTAACACACATGTATCGCTTTAAATGCTTTCAATGCAAACTCGAAAAACGATGAAAAATAATAGGGTAACGTCCCTTCAACCACCATAACACATACCATTAATACACTTAAGTAACGAACAAAAATATTGGGAATGAACGGTATTTCCAAAAGTAATTAGGGCCCAAATTTACCTGGAAGAATGGCTTAACACCCAATGGATTCTCCAAACTACCATAAAACCCAAACCTTTACTAGTTATTTGAAGATCAGGACAATATTTGCAATATGATTAATGAAATTTCGTCTTTCTTGATACATGCCGATAGAATAACAATCATTTTTTTTTTCAAATTGGCACAAAAATTGATAAAAATGCAAAATATGCACCCGTTACGTGAAATATGCAACAGAAGGCAAATATATGCAAATATGCATTTTTTTTATGGCTGTATTCGTTTTTAATTAGCATGATTCGTTCACATATTAAATTTCAAGACTTATATGCAAAAAATAACGGATATGCAAATTTCATAAAATCCGCTCTTTATTCATAATAATCAATTTCACTGTCCAAAAACGCTCGTTGCACTTACACAGGCAGTTATTCCACTGTTTCGTTGTGCGAATCAAAGCGTTTGTTTGATTTCACGTTGAAAAAATCTAGAAACTAATCAGTGGTTGGGGAGAACCAGCTATCCAATTAAAATTATCGATTCTATTTACAATCAACGGAAAATTGTTCATATTAATTAATTATATTCGCGTTAATTATTATTTATGTAGGGGCTGACAACTCTAGATGCAGTTTAAACTCCGCTGCTTATACAGACGCAAAAACAAACATAAGGGCTGGTCTTTGTAGTGTTTCCTTTCGCATAGAAAAAATATGAGGGTAGTTGTGTTTATCTTGTACAGAGGAGAACATTAAGGTGGTGTGTATTTTAGTAATGATCCCCAAATTCAAAGCAAATAGTTGCGACTTCTCACTACCTGATGTCCTCTGCTTGTTTGAGAAGGGCTGTTTATAATCACTTATAAATTTAAATGTTTATCTCTCTTCTTTCTTCGTTTTATTATGTAACTTCGTTTCAGCAAGGGGAACTGCAGAGTTTTTCCCTCTTTACTCTTTACAGCCTAATTAAGTAAAATCTGACAAAGTTTAATTAAATTTAACATACAAACTACAATACAGACAAAGTGAGGCGTTTCGGAGCCCCTTTAGTGGGAGCTTATATTCTGGCAGTAAATGCTATGTAACAATCTACATAATAACAGATTACAACTTACAGGCTTCATCACATTTACCCTTATTCACCAATTTTGGTAGAAAGCACCGGGAAATGGGATAGAAATTCATTACTTTGCAAATCGGGACTTTTTACGACTAAGAAAAAAAAGTATCACGAGACCACTCCATAAATTGTTACCACAGTACTAGTTCCACATAATAAACACAATAGCTTTGAGCGAAATCGTAAAAAGAAGACGTTATGTGTTCTAAATATATTTAGAGTAAAGCAGATAAACCTCATATTTTTCACAGTACAGAATTTATTGGAAAATGCAGACGGATTTTTTATACTTTGTTCTCATGTTAACAAACCCATCCAAAAAAACGCTGTCATTAAAAGGGAGGAATTTTTAATCTTTTAGCTTTAGAAAACATGTGGAGTTCTATTTTATTTTTGTTAACCAACGTTGCATCAAGTAAAAGCATTCCACGTTGTAACAATTGATTTAATTCCACTTGAACCATGTTATTCCACTGCTCGTAGCAGGACGGTGCATAACCAAACTTTAAAACACAATTTTTGTATTGTTTTTTGGCGTACATTTTCTATACTAATCTCGTTTTTAACAAACAGAAGAAATATGGCTTTTGTTATATTCAAAAGTATACTTGACTTTTTTTTTCAATTGCACTCTATGTAGTGTTACATATAGACCGAATAAACATTTTCTTTACGTTGCTTTAATTAACGTTCAATGCAATTTTCTGCAACACAATAGACAATATATGATCCACGAAGCAAATCATGTTGATTAAAATTTTGGGTCTGGTTTATTAATGACTAACATTACCAATAAATATCAGTCACTATATAATTATCGTAATTTTCGTGCACAATATGTCGTTAATTTGTGTACACAATACCGTAACTAAAAGAACCGTAATGGTGGTAGGCAATTATTCACATTGCACATTTATTAAATTATAGCAAATATCACTGACATAATTTACGGTTATAAATACCGGAAATTGTCAATAAACACATTATTTCATTATATAAAATAAATAAATAAATAATTCATCAAAAACAACAGATTTAAACGTAATTGCAATTGAGTTAAAAAGAACTTCATTCGGTTTTTATTCAAAACTTGAATATAATGACAACTCATATTGAATAAACATTGATTTTTAACAAAAAAGTAATAAATGAAGTCAAGCCGAGAAGTTATTAATAATAAGGTTTATGTACCGTGACGTCATGCATTTTTTAAGACCAAAGAAATTATTATTATTTATATTTAACTTCCCTTTCCCTCGCAGATCCACAAAGTAGTAAAACGAAAACATCTCACCAAATTACTCTATACAAAAGTCAAATTAGCCTCAAAAAGCTCATTATTGGATTTCAACAAATCGGTTCATTCTCATTGGGAAAATAAACTATGTTTTATATCCCGTTCGGGCACAGAATTACAAAACGTTTTCCGACTTTTGCTTGTCACCATTTGTCGAAAAGCGTTACTTAAATCATATAATTTCATTAGAATTGATTCCCAAAATTTATCTTATAAATTTGTAACATCTCGCCAAACGCAAATGAAAGGAAAGAGCTCTCGGAAATATATCTGGAAATAATTAGGCCTATTTTCTCAAGAAATACTCTCGTTCATTATTGCCAAAGCCGTAAATTCTTGTTAAAATACCACGAATTACGACCGACTGATTCCAACTGAAATAAGTCTTTGTGTAGAATTATTTCGGCGAAATAAAGTCAAGCTCCCATCTACGCCCTTTACGACATTTGCTGTTGGCGAACACGTGGAGAAGATTAAAAACAAAAGAATGTGATGATTTCTTAATGCAGTAACGATTTTATCGCAAAATTAGTTATGATCACATTTTTACCACTTGATGGCAAAAATATTTATAAATTGAAATCTAAAATTGTCTCCTATATTAAAAAATGTGTAATATCAAGAACAGACAAAAAACTAAATAATTAGCCTCAAATTCTGAAATTAAGCTGTACAGTATCCAATTTTCATTCAGTTTGATCCTCCTACATAATTAAAACTGGATAAAATTTACAGCGCTACTAAATGTAAAGCGTAGGCGGCAACGTGATTCTTATAATGTTGGTGTTTTTCAGCATAGTCACTTCTAATGGAATTCAATTCAATTCAATTTTACAACAAAAATATTACAGTGTCATTTAAATTCTTGCCTGTGGCGACGATTTTATATAAAACGAAAATTTCATTTACTCTCGTGTTATTTGCACATAAAGCTTGTAGTGTTGCTAAATCACATTGACGTACAATTTATTGTATTTTTAAATATTAATCCTGTCAGAAAAAAATTATGGTGATGACATATACAACAACAAATACTTAAATTAACAAAAATATATTAGTGGCTTTGCTTACAAGATCTCTCATCCAAAAATTTTGATTAAAATTGTAATTAGCTTGACAGTTAATTTAACAAATGTACAGAATAAAAAACCTCAGTAGCAAGAAAATTCATTTTAAAATTTTGTATTAAATAACTAGCATAATTTATGTGTTTTAATGTACAAACAAAATGTTGGATGTCTCACTGGAAATTTTCCAACTCTGGCACACAAATAATAAAAAGAACTGTGCTTCGTATTTCCAGAACAACGCTGGACGTCGGTTAGTTTACCAAAAATGTCGTGTTTCCTCCAATGTTAGCATGCTGCTGTTATTATTGAATTAAATTTATCTTGTACACTGCAGTGCAGTAAAGCAGCCAAAAAAAGAAAAAAATAAGTTTCTAATATGTTAAATTGAAAATTAAACTTGGGATGTGCTAGTTTATACAAAAACTTAGATATTTTAATTAATGTACCAAGTTAAAAAAATACAGTATTATGTAGTAAGTTCAGCTTAGTACAACTAAGTTCGTTTTTAAAATTGACTGCTAGTCTACGTCTCTTGTACAGTGGTGGCACTTAATTTTTTAAATTAAAAGGGAAGCTTAAAATTTTCTTGTTTGTTAGAAGTCATTGTCCCGTTATTAAAAAACAGGATGTTCTCTACTCGTTTGGTTTTTACAGGGGAAAGACTATTATTAATTGGCGGAAGTAAATTTAAAATACTTAGGTATAATTA